TCTCTCTCTCTCTCTCTCTCTCTCTCTCTCTCTCTCTCTCTCTCTCTTTTCTCTCACTCTTGCTCATTGTGGTATATTGGAAATCCGGTCGTACCTTTTGTAAAGGGAACATTACTGGCGATTCATTGCGACATTTTTAAATTACGGCCTGTGGTATCGGCAACGATTATGCTAATCAGCGAATAAGCAGAACGCGGGAGAGCATATTTATGGTACTCGTTAACGTTCATTGCGCTTATTAATTTTACGACCGGCCGACGGCTGCTCGTGATTGTTTCTTTAATCCCGCGAACACGGCGCTAAATCGATACAGCGTGCGTGTTGTCGATGTTGTCGGCGTCGTTGTTGTTGCTGCCAGCACGATCGCGAGGCCACCAAAGTCGGAGGAAACGGTAGCACTCTCGGTGTATCAATTAGGTGTTATTAGCGCGCCGTGTCATTTTCGCGGAGGTCAAGGTGACGAGGTGACGAGGTGATCGTAGAGCAGACGGTGACATTTTTCACACGCGCGAAAGTCGCGAGAAAATTTCTCGGCTTACGGTAAAAGAGATTCCCACGCGGTGATTGACGCGGTCGACTCAGCATAACTTCTGTTTGCGCTACTGATTGGCATGAGCGTGCACCGAGATCGGTACTCGCCTCTCACGCGTGGGCGCGCCCAGTGAAATAAATTAATTTGTCCGCGCCTGAAAAGGGCCGCTTGATGGACAACCTTTAGGTTTCACCGTGCGCGGCGAAGGGAGAGCCCCCAAGACCGCGTTGCACAATAATTAGCGGACGGCTACAAATGATCGTCAAACACATGAGAAGGGAACGATCGCTGCAATATAACTCTCGCGAGAGACTTTCTCGCCGAGTCTCGCGCGACGGAAGAGGAGGAGTAGTTGGGACGGTGAGCGGACCGTGGTCGTAGGAAATTCATTTGTATCTTTAATGGTCTTGAAAGTCTATTTAATGTTATGCACGCGGTAATACATTTCTCGCGGATGGAAAGGAAGCGCAGAGGAATTGCGTCGCTGTTAACGAAATACCTCTCCGACATATTTCTTTTCTCTATATCGCTATTTTTTAAGAATGTTATAAAATAGGTTACAAAATATACCTAATTTCTATTTGCTATAAGAGTTAAAACAAATATGAAAGTTTGAGTAAATCAAAAGGAACTTGATATTTCACCACGAATTTTTCCGGTTCACCACAAACTTTCCCGGTTATTTAATCACTTAAGGGATTCATAGTCCTTTTCCGTCGTCATATGCAAACTGATCGACGTACGATATATTTCGCCTGTCGTCATCGTCGCTCGCGCGTATCTCCCAAGAAGGACCGGGGCGCATACGTGTGAACGTCTCTTCGCGTCGAAATGAAACGCGCGAGTTATCACCCTCTGCAGATCGACGCCACCTTTAACCCCGATGAGCGACATGAAGTCAAAAGTGAAAAGGAGCGGCGAATGGCACCCAGCCGAATCCTTCATTGTTCACGGATTAACGAGACGAGTCGCCGTCCCTCGAATGCACTCGTGCGAGGTCCTCGAACCTCAGCACGCCGTCTTCTCCGTCGACCGGGTGAATGAATCATCTTCTTCGGCTGGAGCGGACGAGAGAGAAACGGCGAAAGGGAGGGGAGGGCAGACGAAGTCACGAAAATAATACCTCGTGGGGTGGAAGATCGCTCCTCGTCGGCGGGGACTTGTTTCTTTTTCCTATTCACGGACCGGGCCTTGTGGGACCGCGAGATGATGTATACATATATACACGTGTATATACATACATATATGTATATATGCATCCGCGCCGTGAGGCAATCGCGGCTTTTTATCGGGATTTTATGACCGCGTAACATTGTGCGTTATTGGGTCGTTACGCGTGTCCGAAATTCAAAGCGCTTTCGAATCGAGCTGTGAATGCAGCGTGCTCGCCTCATGCGATGCATCGTGGCGCACAACCGGACACTTTGCAACGATAATGATCGGGCTCCCAGAAAAAACGTCGATTCTCATTCAGTTTATCGTGAAACAACCACCCACATAGACTCTCATGATTATCACGGCGTGAGACAATCGATGATGGAAGTTTGACCATTTTTTTTAAATTACATTTGTAAGGCAAATATATTCTATCAAATTAATCATTAAATTTACATCGTG